GCGACAGTGCCTCACTGTACAGCTCTGACTTGCTTGGAACTCCCTATGTATACCATGCTGGCTTCGGTGCCAAGAAATCCAATTGCTTTTGCCTCCCAAACACTGGATTTAAAGGACCTTATTAGCTTTCCTGGCCTGTATTTTTTGTTCTCAAAGGTGTCTCTGTGTGTATGTATGTGAATGTGAGAATGCTGAGTGTGTATGGGTCCCCATGGAGACTGGAAGAAGATACCCCTTGTAGCTGGACTCTGAATACAAGCAGTTCTGAGACATTGTCAGCTGCCATTTGTGGGTCCTGCACGAACAACAGATGCTGTTAAGTAATGAGCTGTCCCCCATCTCATTAGTATTTTATCAAATTAATTTAATGCTGACAAAGTACCAGTTCATGTATTGAACCTGTGTCTTTTAGTGTCGTTATGACTCCTATGTTTTATCTGTAGCTTTTAATAGTGTAATGTTCGTGATTAGCCTATCATAACAGCTGAAATGTTTTGGGATGCATCACTTAGCCTGCTGGTTTTTCTGTTTAATAGATAGGAACCTGTAACCACTGGAGATGACAGTTTGTAGGACTGAGTGAGGCCCTCTGGTGCTGTACCAGAAACTGAGAGAAATTGAACCAAAATACAAACAAAAAGGAATTACTATGGTAGCAAAAATTCCAGGTTGAATATATTTCATTGTTTTCTGATACTCTGAATTGAGCCTGTAGCCTTGTACACATTAGACAGATACATTACTTAGCTTCACCTGCAGTGCTCCAGGATGAGTTTTGAGCACCTGACTCTGTTCTTATGAACATCTGTTTTATGATATGCCTGATTGTTGAGGGGAAACAGAGTTTGCTTTTCTTTTTGTAATTGTAAGACACAAGTAAAATAAAATTTGCCTATTTAACCCTTTGAGACAGAGTAGCACAGCCTGGATGTATAGTGAGGATGACCTTGAACTGCTGATCCTCTTGCACTCACCTGAGTGCTGGGATTTCAGGCAAGGCTTTCTGCATTCTAGCTAAACACTCTAGAGCTGTATCCCTAGTCCCCTTAGCCATTTTTAGTTGTATTTTTCAGCAATATTTTGTATTCCCATTTTGTTTGACCATAAGTATCTATTCCAGAATTTTGTCATCTTCCTAAAATGAAATGCATGTTTATTAAACAGTAATTCTGTAGTGCTCTACTTCTATCTTTTAAAAAACCACTGTTTTGGATGTGGTGGCACACACCTTCAATCCCAGCCAGTAGGGGTGCGAGTGTGGGGGAGGCAGAGGTAAGTGAATCTCTGAGTTCCAGGCTAACCTGCAAGTTCCAAGACAACTAGAGCTGCAGAATAGAAGAGACCCTGTCTTACATAAAATTCCCCCTCCCCCCAACAAAAGCAAAGAAGAATCATTGTTCTGTTTTTTTCTGTCTATGAATTTGGCTGTTCTGGATTCATTTTATAAGACAAATCCCACAGTATTTGTCCGTGGGTGTCTGCTTTAGCATTTTGTTGCCTCCGTTCAATCATGTTACAACCTGTCAGAATTTTCTCTTTTTAATGCTGAATGTTTCTTTCATTGCATGTACACATTCCAGTTCATTTATCCACTCATGAGTGGACTTTAAAATTTTTGCTTATTGTGTATGTACAAACATTGACTCTGTAAATGCAAGTGGGCCAATGTGCACACATTGATGTTTCTTAAAGGACAAACTGTGGGAGTTGTTTTTCTCCTACCACTTGGGGGCCCAGAGGTCAAACTCAAGTTCTAAGACTTGGTTTGGTAACAAGTGCCTTAGGTCTCTGAGCCATCTGGCTAGTCAGTGGGCTTTTTGTTTGTTTTGAGACTGTGTTTCACTATGTAACTCATAGAGGTCTGCCTGCCTCTACCTCTCAACCTCTTAGAATTCTCAGATGCTTAGAATTAAGGTATGTGATACTATGCCCAGTGGGTTTTTGTTTTTGTGAAGGGCTTTCCCTGTATTGCCTGTGCTGGTCTTGAACTCTTAGACCCAAGCAATATTGTGTCTTTTATTTTCTCACATGGAAATGGACAGGAAGGAACAGGCTTTATAACCACTACATTTTCTGTATTAGGTAACGATAGTGATAACTGTCACTTGTGCTGTGAATTTTCATTTTCTGTAATGACCTTAGCTTTGACAGGTGAGAGAACTTGGGCTAAGAGATTAACTAGCATCAAGATAATTGAGAATTAGGTAGTTTGTATGTTAGGTTATTGGGCTGATTATTCGTCTGAGATCCTGATGCAAAAGGAGTAAGAATAAAGTATTCCCTCGTGTGTGTGTGTGTGTGTGTGTGTGTGTGTGTGAGTGAGTGATTCAGTCACGGGTCTTCAGGCTTATGTATCAGTTGCTTTTTCTCACTGGCTCATGTCCTTAGCCCTTTCAGGTTTTTCTTTTCTTTCTATTTTTGTTATGTTCAGGTTGAACATGGGGCCTTGTGCCTACTAGGCTAATACTTTTACCCAGGGTTTCTTCTTGAGTTAATAAAAATAATTTAGAACTAGATTCTGATAGGCTGGGGATATAGTTGTTTGAATTCCCAATTAGTATGGGCAGCTCAATACTGGACTAGCCAATATAGCTGTTTAATATATGAAATAAATAGTAATTGATTTTTTTTTATTTTGCATGTATGCTTTTGTCTGCATATATGTATGTGCACCACATGCATGCAGTGCCCTTGGAAGCCAGAAGAGTGCTGTGTATATCTCCTGGAGCTGGAGTTAGAAAATGTTGAGAGAGAATTGGGGAGGTGGTTCAACAGCTAAGAGCACTGGTTGAGTCCCAGAACCCACATAATGGGTCATAGTCTGTTGACCAAGGTTTTTGTCCCTCCCTGCCCTGCAATCGTTCAGCCCCAAATAAACACACAGAGGTCTACATTAATTATAAACAGATTGACCTAGTTTCTCAGACTTCTTATTAACTCTTATAACTTACATTAGTCCATAATTCTTGTCTGTGTTAGCCACGTGGCTTGGCACCTTTTTTGGCGAGGCAGTCACACCTTGCTTCTTCTGCGACTGGGTGATGAAAGTAGACTGATTGTTTCCTCTTCCCAGAATTCTCCTGTTCTCGCCCCACCTCCACTTCCTGCCTGGCTACTGGCCAATCAGCATTTTATTAAAATACAATTGACAGGGTACATACAGTTCATTATCCCACAGCAATGGTCATCTGTTCTTCCAGTTCTACAGTATCCAGTGCCTTCCTTTGGGTTCCTGGACACCAGGCATATACATGGTGCACAGACATAAATGTATGCACAACACCCTTCTACATTAAAGTAAGGCAGGAAAGATCTGCACCTTTGACTCTTTAAATCAGTTTATTTTTTAAAAAGAAACATCTTGTTGCTTGGAATTGAATCCCAGTTCTCTAGAAAAATGACCAGTTCTGTTAACTACTGAGCCATTTCTTCATCTCTGAAATTGAGTATTAAATACCTATACCTATCTTTTTATTTTTTATTTTTTTAAAAAAATTTATTTTTAATTAATGTACATTGGTGTCCCACTTGTCTGTGTGAGGTTGTCCAGTCCCCTAGAATTGGAGTTATAGACAGTTGTGAGTTGCCATGTGGGCACTGGGACTTGAATCCGGGTCTTCTGGAAAAACAGTCAGTGCTCTTAATTACTGAGCCATCTTTCCATCCCAGCAATACCAATCCTTAAGGAGCGGGTCTGCTTATTTTATTTAAATAATACAGTCTTTTCTTTGAGTGAAGTATTTTCTATTATGGAACAAATATAGTATCTAAGTTTTTTCATCAGAGTTAATGTTGGAATTGTGAACTTGTGTCTAACATGGAGGAGGAGCTGTGATATTTGTTGAAGTAAAGAGTGAGAGAAATGGAGATCGCAGGAAGAGAGAATAATTGTTGCTAATATGACTGATTAAGCAATATCTCTTTCATTTTTGTTCTATAACAATTTTTTTCTCTATATACAATATTCAGATTGAACACTCACTATAGCTAGTGAGTTTCGAATTTCCTTTTCCTTTTTCTTTCTTTTTCCTTTTTTCCTTTTTTTTTAGATAAGTTTGTCTGTGTAACAGCTCTGACTATTCTGGAACTCACTTCGTAGACCAGGCTGGCCTCGAACTCACTGAGATCTACCTGTCTCTGCCACCAAAGTGCTGGGATTAAAGACATGTGCCGCCGCCGCCGCCACCACCACCACCACCAGCACCGACTGAGACACAGTTTACTATGTATCTTTGGTGGCCTGAAGCTTGGTATGCTTGCCTAGACTTTTCAGCAATCTACCTGTCTCTGTTTTCCAAGGGTTGCGAATAAAAGCATGTACCATAGCACATGGCCTATTTTGTTTTTTCAGAGTCTCAGTCCAGATAGGCCTAGAACTCTACACAGCTAATAATGACCTACATCTATGATTCTCTTTCTACCTCCCAATTTTTCCTTCATCCCTGCCAACTTATTTATTTATTTTTTTAAGTTTTAAATTTCTGTAAACTCAGTTCAGGAATTAAAGAAATGGGAGAAGTGTTGGTGTATAGTGGATATCAAGTGGTTAGAACAATGGAGTGGAAAGCATGTGGTTGCTTAGGGGAAGCATAAGGCCCAGGAAAGGCAGAGTGAGAAAGTAGGAAGCTGGTGATTAAAACAATAAGAAAAAAAGAAGTAAGAGATGGATTGCTGTCATACGTTTATTAGTCTGTCACTGCTGAATGGGTAGATAATTGTCTTCTTGAAGAAAATTATCTTTTTTGGACCATTTATATTCAAAATTTTTGTAACAATAAATTATACATCAGTATAAGAATTAATTTAACAGTTTCCTTGGTCGCTTTAATTCCTTGGTTCTGTACATATATAGCTTCAAGAAATAATGTATAGGTTCCTTCCCTTTTAAAAACAAGATATAGTACTTTGCAGTATAGTGTTCTCTGGGTCCTAGGTTTGTGACCCAACACTGTTGCTCCCCACTCCCTCCCTGCAAGAACAAGATGAGTTAATATGTCCTCAGATTACTTGCCTAAAATACGCTTTTTGTCATTTTTAGTAATAATTTAAAATTCTATTTTTACAAAATCTAGCTATATTAGTGTAGTACAGCTTTAAAATTTCTCCACCCTGGAAACTGAGATGGTAAGATCCTAGTTCGATCTTAGTCATCATTTTCTAAACAAAACAAAATGAAACAGAGAAGGTTGAAGAGCTTTAAGATTACTGGAGAGATGGATGGCTCAACAGTTAAGAGCACTGGCTGGTCTTCCAGAGGTCATGAGTTCGGTTCTCAGAAACCATGTGGTGGCTCACAACCATCTTATAGTGGGATCTGATACCCTCTTTTGGCATAAAGTCCATAGAATACTCATATACATAAAGTAAATCTGAAAACAAAGAAATTGCAGTATAGTTGTGTGTGCTGGAACATACCTTTAATCCTAGTACTGGGGAGACAGGTAAGCAGATCTGGCCAGCCTGATCTACATAATTCCAGGTCTGTCAGGGATACGTAGTGAGACTTTGTCTCAAAATATATTCAAAATTTACAGAATGCTGTGCTTTCCTTGAGATATTGCTGATAATTTCAGTGATTCTGTGATGTCTTTATGAGTTTAATGTATTGATTGATTATTAAGTTGTACATTTTTGTGCTTATCTCTTATAAAGAAATAGTTACTGGAGGGCTGGATGGTTCAGTTTAAAGCTCTTGTTGCTTTCCCAGAGGACCTGAGATCAGTTCTAGATACACATATTAAGCAGCTTAGAATTTTTCTAACTCGAGCTCCAAGTGATCTGGCATCCATTTTTTTAGCCTTTTCAGGGACTCATTCAAGTGTAGTTTGAGTGCACTCACGTGTGTGTACACACATGTACATGGTGGGCCATGGTGATGCTTGCAGAGGCTAGATCTCAGTGTTCAAAGCCAGCCTGGTCTACAGAACAAGTTCCAGGACAGCCAGGGCTACACAGAGAATCTTTGTCTGAAAAAAACAAAAGAAATGGTTACTATGAATAAGTCCTATATGTCTTAGGGACTTTGTATTTAAAAAAGCTCTTGTTGCCAAGTGGTGGAAGCATAGTCCTTTAATCCTAGAACTGGGAAGGCAGAGGCTGGCAGATCTCTGGATTTGAGGCTAGCCTGGTCTACAGAGCAAGTTCCAGGACAGGTTCCAAAGCCACAGAGAGAGCCTGACTTGAGAAACTAAAAAAGAAAAAGGTGGGGAGGGGCAGACTCTTGTTTTATCCCCACAATAGCAATTTTGTCATAATAGTATCCGGTCCTTCAGACACTGGAGATGCTATACCAGGTGGCTGGAGACCAAACAAGGCAGAAATTAAAGATGTGAAGTTAATTGTATGATACAGGAAAAAGTAGAGAAAGCTGTGGGAATAGGTTAGGAGGAAGTGATAAATAATGGAAGCTAAAAGTATGAATTTAGTGCAGGGGAAGAGAGTATAGAAGAATGTTACTGAGAAAAGAAATAGCAATCAAAAAATTCAGGCAGCAGAAACAACAAAATTGTTGATGTGATACTGAGGCAGAGTAGATGTGGGATGAAGTCCTAGCTGTGGTGTAAAGTTGAGCTAATAGCATGGCCTTATACCCGGTGAATGAGCCTCGTCTGTCCCAAATCCAATCAGTAGTAAGCATTTTTTAGAGCTATTGAGAGAAGATAGGTATCACTGAATACAGTGATAGAATATTTATTATTATTTTGTTTTTGTAGCCCTTGCTGGTATGAGCTTTCTATATAAATCAGGCTGGACTTCAACTCTCATAGAGATCTGTTTGCTGGTTCCCCAGTGCTAGGATTAAAGATGTTGGTTACCAAACCCATCTTGATTTTAGTTTTCTTAAACTCTTTAAGTTTTCTCATTAGTGTTAGACATATAATAGTAGACTTTCAAATATTTCTGAATTATTTACTAGTGTTTGAGAATAACTTGTATAGAGAAATTAGGACCATTATAAACCATTAGTACATATGCATCAATTTTTCTTTAAGCCTGTTATGCACTTTACCTCACACTTGGGTAGGTATCATTTAATGTTTCTTTTTGGTTTTACATGCTATTTTATTGGATTTGATATTGGATTTTATTTCTTATCTAGCATAATTCTAGGTACAGTGTAAATATATGATGTTAGGTGTGTTTGTATGTAAAATGTGCGTTAAAAACATTAAACATGTCATTGACCTTTGCCCTTACCATTGACATACTGTGAAAGCTTTGCTTTCTATATGCTTCCTTAGAAAACTATTATAAAGTATATCATTTCTCTTGATGTCATTTTCTTCTAGTTCTATTTTTTTTTTACCTTTAACGTGTTGGGTTTTTTTTGTTTAGTTTTGTTTATCTCTTGTTGCTTAAAAACTCAAGTGTGCTTTGTATTCTAGGTCCGGTTTATCACTAAAATATGGCATCCTAATATTAGTTCCGTCACAGGGGCTATTTGTTTGGATATCCTGAAAGATCAATGGTAAGAGACTTCCGAATTTGCTCTCTTCTTTGTTGCACAGACTAAGAATGTTAAGTGTGTTAATTCCCCAAAACATAAGTTATACTTTAGGTAGTAGTTTATAAAGTCTCTTAAGTACATAGTTGAAAGTATATTTTAATTGAGATTATGATAGCTTTTTAAATGGACACTTTTAAAATAATACCAGATACTAGTTTTACATTTAAAAAAACTTGAGTTTTGTTTCTTATTTTGGTAAATTTTCTCTTTGTTGTCTTAAGAAGGTATTTATAATGGACTAAAAATGTAAGTTGAAGCAGTCGTCTTTCACTCAGGTGATTTATAGGCAAGAGTTGTTCAAAGTTGTATTAATTGAGCACATGTAAGGCACTCAGGTGTCACCAGTTATTTTATGTGGTTTTTTTTTTTTGCATAAATATTCTTTCACTTCACTTGCCCTGTTCTTTGTAGTTTTTGTATTTTGTATTTTATTTAAATATTTTTGGGTTTAATTTTTTTTCTAAGTATGTCTGTGTGTGCTCATGAGCTATCTGCTGTACACTGTGAAGGTCAGGCAGTAGCCTGCAGAAGTCTTAGTATCCCAGGACTGAGCTCAAGGTAGTGTGGTCTTTGTGGGAAGCAGCAAGCACCTTCACTCGCTGAACTGTTTTGCTGGTGCCTGTGCATATGCAAGGACACTGGGTTGCTTTGTTTGTTTGTTTTCTTTTAAAGAAAATTTTGCTGTGTAGCCCAAGCTAGCTTTTGAACTGAGCTTTCTTCCTGCCTTTCCTTTGAGTATTGGGATTATAGGAGTATATTCTTCGCTCCTGGTAGTGGTTGACTTAAGAGTTCCTGTTCTTGTAGCCCTCAGATTTAAATCCCCCTTCTTTCATTTGTTTGATTGTGTGTTTATCAGCAGATTTGTGCCCTTTGACTTTCTCTTTTGTGTGATCATGTTCATGTTTACTTCATTGGCACGAGAGACTTAAATACATTGGCTCATTTCATATATATAGAATAGAATGAAGCCTCGCATGTTTTAATAGTAATTAATCTGATATATCAGGTTTAGCCATAAAATGTTCTTACTCTTAACTAGCACAAAGTCTTATTAATGAAAAAACTGTGTCCAGAACTATAAAATAAAATTGAGTAAGGCAATATTCAGCTGTGATTCCTGCACTGGGGAGGCAGAGGTAGGATGATAGTTAAGTTTGAAGCTAGTCTGGGCGACATAATAAACCTTGCTTTGAAAGGGGGAAAATAAAAGAATGTGATATCACCAAAGAAAGGAAAGCAGTGCCATTGGTAAGACTACATGGAGCACTGATCTTACAGAAATCATGTGTTAGGGAAAGAAAGTGATGTTTGAGAGCGCTCATGCTAGAGTGATGACATTTAGTCTGTGGGAAGGAAGTTTGCTTTGTTTGAGAACAGAGTAGGATTCCTGCTTTGGTTTCTTTTTGTATCAAGTTTCTTGATTTATTTTAGACTATACTTTACTAGTCACTCTTTGACTTGTGACTTTTTTTGCCAGCATCTTAAAAGTCGAGGTCTCATGGTTTTGTTTGTCTGTAATGTTTATTTACAGTCTTTTATAACTTCATGTCTCAGTGATATCAGTGCATATTTGAATAATTGAAGATGTTCTCTTTTTATTTTGCTTCCAGGATGTCACGTCCATTCCTCTTTGGCTTTCTTTTCCCTGTTTCCACTTCATAACCTTCTTGTCTTTCTGTCTCCCCGGTCTTTGCCCATGAGAATGCTGCAGGAATCAGTTTAGATTCTTGTTCTCCATCTTTGCTTCTTGATGAACTACTATAATTTCATATTTTCCCATTTACAAATATCCTTATTTATGTATTTACATTTATTCTCACACTTAAATGTTTGCGTTTGTGCACATGTGAAATGTAGAGCATGGAGCGAGGCGGAGGACAAGTTATGGTAGTCGGTGCCCTCTTTCTACCGTCAGACTTGGAGTGTCAGGTCAAGAACCTCTGCTCACCGAGCCATCTTGCCAGCTCATAAGTATCCTCCTCACACTCCAAGCCCATGTTGATGCCTACTTATCTGTATTTGAATTATGTAATAAACATCTTAACTCTATTAAAAACCAACCATCTGAAATCTACTGTTCTGGGAGTTGGTGAGCCACGCCTTTTTAAAATCTCATCATCCAGGAGGCAGAGGCAGGCAGGTCTTTGTTAGGTAGAGGCCAGTCTGGTCTGCATAGGCAATTCCGCTTCAGTCAGAACTACATAGTGAAATACTAACTTACAAAAAAATCCATTTGGACTGCTGTTCTAGAGAATTCAGGTTGGAATCCAGCACCCTCTTTTGGCTTAGGGAGCACTAAGCTCACACAACATGCCCATACACGTAAGTAAATAAAAAAAAATATCTTTTTGCTTCTTTCCTTAGACTTCCTCATTTAATTTGTTCAGTTGGTTAGGTGGAAGCCTCAGTATGATCTTGATTTTAGTGGTTTTTTTTTTTTTTTGAGCCAGGGTCTCTCTGTGTGGCATTGGCTAGCCTTGGAAGTAACTTTGTAGACCAGGCTGGCCTCAAACTCACAGAGATCTCTGCCTCTCAAGTGCTCAGGTTAAAGGCATGCACCCCCACACCTGGCCTGGGTTTTCTTTTTTCTGGCGTTATGTACCCTGTCTACACAAAGCAGTTGATAAACATGCAGTCTCACAAGCAGCTTGCCTACTGTCACTTTGAGTCACAGTCTGCTTACCTTTTATTTGGATGATCCTAGTGGTCTGTCCCCCTCAGTCGCCCACTCGGCTCTGCTCTGGTTATTTTCAACAGTATCATTAAAATTTGTATTGTTCGTCTGTCTGTGCCTACGTGTTTGTTTATATGTGTGCCTTGGTGCACTGGTGGCAGGTGGAGGACAACTTTGAGGAGCCCTTTCCTTCCACCATATGGGTCTTGGGGATTAAACTCAGGCTGTGAAGCTCTCTTGCAGGCTCCTTTTGTACCTCCCTCTCTTTCTCCCTCCTTCTCATCTTTCTTTTTTGCCTTGCTGGTGATTGAACTTTGATCCTCATGACTGGCCAGTGCCTACCATTTGAAATTCACTCCTCTGTGTAGGTGGTGTGTGAGCATGGGTATCAGGGCATGCGTGGAGGTGAAAGGACAACTTTTTGGGGCCGATCTTTCTTTCTGCCTTTCCAATCTGGGTATAGGTTGCCAGCCTGCACTGCAAGGTCCTTTACCTTCTGAGCTATCTTGCTGACCCCAAGCTAATAAATACATTTTGAAATTTCATATTTCTATTTGCCTTTTAGTATTTCTTAAAATAAGATTAATTTTACATATGAAGTGCTGAAAAACTCAGTGAAGTATCAGCACTTGTGACAGTAATGAATAAAATGCAAGAGTTTTTTCAGATACTTAGTTTTTCACATTAACAAATTTAGATTTTAAAGATTAATATAAAACAATAAAAATATGTGTTAATGCCATCAAAGATAAGGTTTCTATAGTTTGTAGGGTTGACTAAGTTGACTTTATGTGGTATTTTAACAGTTATTTCAAAGTGTCATTGAGTATCATTGGCTAGCATTGTACCGTCTGTTTGTTCGCCCACCTGCCCGCACATCCTTCCATCCATCCTTCCGTCCGTCTGTCCATCCATCTCTATCTGTCTACTTATTATTTATTAGGTTGAGCTCTCACTAGAAACACCAGGCTAACCTGGAAGTCAGAAATCTTCTTTTGCTTCCTGAGTGGTGGGATTTAAGGGCACATCACCACACCTGGCTAATATTACTTTAAAAAATTAATACCTTTTTATTTTGAAAATTCATATATGTTGTATACATCGAAATATGACTATATCCCTTCTCATTTTCCCCTTTAACTACCTTACTCTTCCCTGCCATGTTTTCCCAACTTCATGTCTTCATGCTTCCTTATTTATTTATCCATTCATTATTCAATTTATATATTTATGTGTTTAATTTTTTGTGATAGGAAGCCAGAAATAGGCTTTAGATGTCATACTATTACTGTCAATCTATTTCTTTTAAAAGAATCTCTATGAACATGAGGCTATATATCATTTCGACTGTATGTTTGGTTTTTTAACTTTTGATAATTAACAGTTATCCACAATTATTATTTTAGATTTTAATAAGTGGTATGAGAATACAAGTATATTAGTTACTTTCCTGCTGATGTGATAAAATACCATGACCATGATCAACTTAGAAATGAAAGTGTTTATTTTATCTTATGGTTCCAGAAGGCAAGAGTTCATAATGACATGGACCAATGGCAGCAGACAGAGCAGCCAGCCCACTTATCACATTTCGTTGGCATACCAGCAAACAGAGCGAAGTGATCTGGAACTGGGGAGGTTATAGAAGCCTGGTTTATTGACTACTTCCTCCAGCAAGGTTCTACATTCTAAAATTACCATAAACTTCCCAAGCAGTCCTATTAACTGGGGACTAAGTGTTTAATTACATGTCATTATGTAGGACATCTTTTCATTCTAACTGCTACAGCAAATAAACTCTCAGGCTTGGTTTGTGAGTCTTCCTCCTTACCACATGTTAGATCACTGCATATTCAGCCCCAACGACTCTGGGTTAAACCCTTTGGAGTCCCTGTCTTCAACCCTTTCTTGGCAGTTTCTCACATCTTAATGTGCACAGGTTTATTAATCTTTGAGGCCTCTCCATGGACTTGCTTAAGTTCCATATACTTTATGCAGTTTCAAGAATTATTTTTATTATTTAGCTTTTTTCGAGACAGAGTTTCTCTATGTAACTCTGGCTGTCTTGGAACTTGGAACAGGAGATCCACCTGCCTCTGTTTCCCCAGTGCTGGAATTAAAGGTGTGCCACCACCATGCCTGGCCAGGACTTTTTAATCTAAAAGATAAAACTATAAATTTGAATACTCCAGTTGTCTTCAATAGAATCATAATCTGATTTTTTATGTCTTTTATTTTAGTTAACATATGCTTTTGATGTTTATTAGTATGATGGCATTGCAGATGT